CATCCCATGGGGTAGGTGCCACCTGTGGGGATGGGGCGCAGGATGCAGGTAGAAGCCACTGGCCCCATGAGGGGCAGCTCCTGCTTCCTGCCTCCTGCAAATGGCTGCCCTCTTCTCTCCCTGTTCCAGAAAACCACAGCGCAGCTCCAACCATTGGCATTGCCATCGCAGTACTTTTCCTTGTGGCTAAAAACTCTGCTCGGGGGGGTTTGGTGGTGGAAGCAGAGGTAAGGTCTCCCTCCCACTGTCTGCTCTCAGGTTTATGGACAGATGCATCGGGCCAGGGGTTGCAGAGCAGCAGATCTGCAGGGATGAATTCCCCAGCCCTGAGCACGGCTCATGCTGGTCCCCCCCGTGCAGCAAAGGTGACGAGGCCACATGTGGGATCCAGGAATTCATCATTTGAGGCCTGGCTGCCTGCCCAGCAATGAGCTTCCTCACTGCTAGCTCTCCCTGCTCATCTCACCTCCCATCCCTGGCCCATCAGCACCAACAAGAGTTTGTTCTGGAAGACCACCACATTAAACAGCTACAAAGTTCTCCAGCTGCACGTGGCTCTCATCCTCCTTCCCCCTCACAAGGTCCCTCCAGGAACCACTCCAGTGCACTGCTGGAACCCCACAGGGTAACCAGGAAGACTTTCCTTTTTCCTGGACACTAGCTGATCTCCTCATGCGTGTCAGGAGAAGTAATTCCTCTGCCAACATCTCTCACACCTCAGTATCTCCATGGCCACTGTCTCTCTCTGGCAGAAGGGCAGTGACAACCTGGAGCCAGACCAGCGTGGGGCCACTGAGTGGGATGGGGGACACAGCAGGCCACAAATCAGGGAGATGGAGGGGTTTGAGCTTTTTCACTGGGGAGAGAAGGGGAAGGTAGGACCCAAGTGACATCTCCAATCCCCTGACACGGGGAGGTGTCTCAAGCAGGTGCAAAGCCACTCTGGCTCCAGTGCAGATCTCACCTTCTGTCTGGCATAGTTTTGGGTCAAGATCTCCACTCCTAAACTCCTGCCCCTGCAAAAGCTGGAGGGATGGGAGGCAGTCACCCTTCCAATATGCCAAACAGCCGTGAAAGAGCCACGCTGAGGCTCTGGGAGACTCTATCTTTGAGCAACATGCCCCCAAAAAGGGTGGGTTGACTTTGGCTGGCCACTAGATGCCCATCCAGCAGCTCTATCATTCTCCCTCCTCAGCTGTACAAGGGGGAGACAATATGACAAAAGGCTTGTGGATCCAGATAAGGACAGGGACATCACTCAGCAATTACCAGCATGGGCAAAACAGACTCAGCTTGGGGAATTTAACTTCATTTATTGCCATTCAAAATCAGACAAGGATAATGAGAATTAAGAACAGATCTAAAAACACCTTCCCCCACCCCTCCCTTCTTCTTGGGCTCAACTTCACTCTTGACTTTTTTACCTCCTCCTCCCAAGTGACACACAGCAAAATGAGGAATGTGGATTGCCACCAGTTTATAATGCATGGTCTCTGTCACTCCTTCCTCCTCACTCTGCTCCAGCGTGGGACCCCACCCACAGGAGACAGACCTACATAAACTTCTCCAGCATGGGTCCTTCCCATGGGCTGCAGTCCTTCACAGACTGCTCCAGCATGGGTCCTTCCCATGGGCTGCAGTCCTTCACAGACTGCTCCAGCATGGGTACTTTCCACAGGGTGCAGTTCTTCAGGAGCAGTCTGCTCCAGCATGGGCCCCCTGCGGGCTCACAAGTCCTGCCAGCAGACCTGCTCCAGCATAGGACCCTCTCTGTGGGGTCACAGGTGCTTCCAGGAGCCTACACCAGCACGTGCTCTAAGGGTCACAGCCTCCTTCCATCCACCTGCTCCAACATGGGGCCCTCCATGGTCTGCAGGTGGATATCTGCTCCACCGTGATCCTTCACCATGGGCTGCATGGGCACTGTCTTTGCTCCGGTGCCTGGAGTTTCTCCTCCTCCTCCTTCTCCTTCACTGACTTCGGTGTCTCCATAGTTGTTTATCTCACATATTCTCACTTCTCTCTCCCAGCTGCCATTGCCAGGTTTTTTTTCCCTTCTTAAATACATTATCACAGAGGTGTTACTGATGGGCTCACCCTTGGCCAGCGGCTGGTCCATTTTGAAGCCGGATGGCATTGGCTGTGT